GCACGTGTGAGCGCGTCAGGTGTGTGTCCCCCTCTCATCACCCGACCCTAGCTGCTCTTGTGCGGCGTTAACTGAAACCGATTCGTGGACTCAAAATGCTGCTTTTTGCTGCCGGCTACGGGCTGAGTAATCCCTGATTTCACTTTAACCGACCGGTGTTCCTTCCGATACTGTTTCCGAATGAACCCGCTTCCACTGGCTCCGTTCTCGACGACCCCCTCCCCTCCACCCAACCACCTATCATATCGTATTCATCGAAGGTCAAGGTCATCCACAGAATGTCCACTCCACACAGACGCACTCAAACACGCACACAGACACTGGCGTACCTGTCAGCGCTGTTTGCGCCCGCAAAACCAATGCCTAAAAGGTTGTTATCTGGTGGGCGGCGGCCGACGCGCGCCGCCGGCCAGCTCCGTTTCACCGGCTATTACTCGCCGTGTTTAATCTGGTAATGCGTTGTCGCCGACCCATAAAGAAAACACCGTGTCAACCGGACCAGAGTCAACACAATTTCACCCATGGTCAGCGAGCAAACACGACCCGCAGCCGCAAAACGTGGCTTGTCTTGAGGAGCGCGCGGCGGCGCCGGCCGCAGCTATCGACCTGCCGCGGCTATCTGCGCTGTTTGCCGGCCGCGCGCGGCGCATTGTGCACACGGAGGGACACGGCGGCGCCGAGTGGGCCGCGCTGTTTGCACAGTAACCCGTCCGGAATTGGACCAAACAGTCCACCGGCGCACTATTTGCGTGCGCGCGCGCCGGCCGAACAAGAGCGTGAAACGTGATCCGGCGGCAGACAGCGGGGAAAAGACACAGTGTGCCCGAGCGCGCGGCACATGGCCCGGCCCGGCGGGGGAATGTCAGACGGCCTGGCGGAGGTGGATCGGACAGCCGGGTGCGTGTCCGCGTAGCAGGCTGACACAGCTGCGGGTCTGGTACTCCTGTGTCGGACACTGTATGGTCGCGTGGCAGGATGACGCGGTCATGGGTCTGGTACTCCTGTGTCAGACGGTGTATGGCCGCGTAGCAGGATGACACGGCTGCGGGTCTGGTACTCCTGTGTCGGACAGTGTATGGTCGCGTGGCAGGATGACGCGGTCATGGGTCTGGTATTCCTGTGTCAGACGGTGTATGGCCGCGTAGCAGGCTGACACGGCTGCGGGTCTGGTACTCCTGTGTCGGACAGTGTATGGTCGCGTGGCAGGATGACGCGGTCATGGGTCTGGTATTCCTGTGTCAGACGGTGTATGGCCGCGTAGCAGGCTGACACGGCTGCGGGTCTGGTACTCCTGTGTCGGACAGTGTATGGTCGCGTGGCAGGATGACGCGGTCATGGGTCTGGTATTCCTGTGTCAGACGATGTATGGCCGCGTAGCAGGCTGACATGGCCGCGGGTCTGGTACTCCTGTGTCGGACCCTGAACATAATTCAACACCTGACCTGCGGGAGCCGACGATCATGTGTCGCCGATGTGTCTACGTAGGCGACGGAGGCAACGCAGTTTCCACTGCTGGCTACCTTAATTGTGAACGCTCTAGCCAAGGAAGGCGGATGACATGACCATTCGGTGCCGGTGGCTCAGGTCTTCCCACCAGAAGCCGAGCAGGCAAGCATGGCTTCATTGGCCGGCTCCGCAGCCGCTCCCCGTAGCGGCGGCCACGTCAAAACACCACTGACAGCACGCTGCGACCGACTGTCGACACCAGCCACCACGCGGCGGCGAGAGCGCGCTGCCAAACAGCCGGGCAGCTGGCGCGCCACGGTGCCTGACAGCTGTCGGCCACGACAGCTGCCCGCCGTGTGACAGACAGCGTGCAGCAGCCACAGCGCGGCGAATCTGTCAACGGAACACCGCAGACAAGGTGCAGGGATCGGCCGTAAGTGACAACGCTGACGCACGCAAATGACGTCACGCGGGAGCAGGGAACCAGAGGCGCTGCAGAGGCTGCCTAGAGAGGCACTGCAGAAGCTGCCCGGAGTGGCGCTACAGAGACTGCCTGGAGAGGTGCTACAGAGGCTGCCTGGAGAGGCGCTACAGGGGCTGCCTGGAGAGGCGCTACAGGGGCTGCCTGGAGAGGTGTTACAGAGGCTGTCTGGAGGCACTGCAGAAGCCGCCTGGAGAGGTGCTACAGAGACCGCCTGGAGAGGCGCTACAGAGGCTACCTGGATATGTGCTACAAAGGCTGCCTGGAGGTGCGACAGAGGCTGCCTGGAGAGGCGCTACAGAGGCTGCCTGGAGAGATGCTACGGAGGCTACCTGGATATACGCTACAGAGGCTACCTGGAGAGGCGCTACAGAGGCCACCTGGAGAGGTGCTACAGAGGCTACCTGGATACACGCTACAGAGGCTACCTGGAGAGCGCACTTACAGCCGCGCCTCATGCTAGATGTTTTTCTTCCCAAGACAAGCCTACGAGCATGTACGTGAGGAACTTCACGGCCCTTGTTCGTATCTTTGATCACGAGCGTGCAGTGGTTTGGGACCTGGCAAAGTGTGAGGCCACGCTTCGCAACGAATGGCAACGAGAGATACCACACTTCACTCGCCCCATCTAATGCGCGGATACTGTGAGCATCTCAACAAATCCATGTGGCTCTGATTGCAAAGAAATTTGGGGCACAAAACATTGCTAAAATATCATTGGATGGGCAATCAAGATATCCACAAATCAGAGTTTGTTTGAACGTTTCACCCTCACCCGTGTTTGCAGTCACGTAGCCTTTTCTAGTGAGTCGAAACTCTTCAAATATTATCTTATGCCGGGTTAACTCCATCTAGGTCACCAAACAAGGCACCAGGACCTTGAGACGCTGGGTTCTTTTGAGGTACACTGAAAACGAAGCTCAATTGCCAAACAGAGAAAGACAAATATTGTTTCTGTCCATCTTTAACCAGCTGGCCTCATCGATTTATTAGAGTATGATAGTTCACATATAGCTTAATGCAGCAGTTCCCACACACCACCGTTAGTTCGCTTGTGAATGGCAAATCGGTTAACATCGACAGCTATATTGCATTTGTATACGTCAGCATCATATTTGTTCAAATCCATCGCAATAAACAACATATCTGGAGGCACTGAAAGTAACAGGGCTACTTCTAATGCATCAGATACTTATTCTGACCCGACGCTCTTGTCTTTGACATACAAGAGGCCTGAACATGCCTGCCACCCTCCGGCCCTGCCGGACGCTGCTGCCGCCTGGCGGCCACCGCCGGAACCGCTGCCTGCGGCCGGTTCTCGTCCCGTCGCGGGCCGGCCGACCGTCGCCGGCGTAGAACCGTACTGTCAACACGGCCGGGTTGCAAACGCCGCTCTACGGCCCACCGATGATGGTGCCAGGCACGCATAGACGAGCAATAACAAACGGTAAGCGCTCGCCCACGCGGCGACCGCCCCGCCGCCATGACGACGGAGAGCAATCAGCAGGAATTGCGCCGGCAAATGACAGAATCGTGTTGTTGCTTCCGTTGTTTTGATAAGATGTCTGCGGTAGCCGACCGCGCGGCCAGCCGGCATCGGAAATTCCGACCGACGTCCCCACGACAAATCGACCAATGATCGCGAACACGGAAACGCAATTTGCGCTCTCTAGTATGCCGGTCACGTAGAGTAAATCGAAACAAGGCAGGCGGGGAATAAGAGAGTATATCGGCAGGGCGACGCCGTCGGTGCTATTGTCTTGTTCGGGCAAACCAGTTACGCCGGGCCGCAAGGTCTCGGTGTGCGGCGGCACAGCATAACACGGATTAATTAGGTGGAGGTGAGGTGAAAAATCAAATTGGTTTACGTTGAGCATTTCCATGACACAGGCACCCTGTGCTGGGAGGTGTCCATTTGAGCATGGCTGGTGCTAATGATTGTGAGGCCCTGCGTTCGTCTCCAACACGTTAAGTCATGTGCTTTTTGATCCCGAATACCGTGTTCCATGGCGTAACTTAACAAACATAAGCGATTTTTGGCTCCACGTAGATACGTCATGGGGTGGCACATGTTGCGCAGATACCATTTCAAAGTTGATTAAGCATATAGCCGGGAGGACTTTGGGATCAGAGCTCATATCTAGCAGCGGCTTGGTGTGGAAATCCTGATCTCATCGCGCTAGCGGAACGGCTTTAATTGGGCGGGTAATTTTTTCGAAATATGTTGATGTGCTTATAGTATACCATAATACGACCACCCAATGCCAACATGACATTTTCGTGATCAGCTGACTGTCTTCGAAAAATAATCTTCCGATGATGGCTACGACATTCGCACTGCCACCAAATTCAACATGGGCGGGAACGCAGCCGCTTATCACACCTGGGAGTCTGTCGAGCCCGTCATCAAAATTCCCATTCACACCATCCGGCCAGCATGATCAAGCAGGAACTCTCACCAACAGCCCTCAAAGTGATTCCATGCACGCCTTCTGCACTCGAACCCTCCTCTCACAACATCGTCACCCCTATCTCGATCAGCTTTTTCCCGCCTCCCATCCCGACGACGCCTAGCGGCTTTGCACGTGGCGTTCGCTTTGCATGCATCAGCCTTGCCAAATCAATACCTGGCGGGCGCGTCCCTCCCTCTCCGCCGGCCGCTGCCGCCGGGGGGCGCCCCGCTGCCGCCGATTTGCCCCGGTCTCGTCCTCTTGTCGAACACCGCGCCCGAACAAAAATGCCGCTGTCCGCCGGCCGCCGACGCCGCCGCTGATTGGTGCGTTTAGCGCGCGCCGCCAGGTGGGCGGAGCCTCTGCGCCGGAAAACTCGGCTGAAATCATAATCAATTGAGGTGCAAACGCGTTTTTCGGCGCGGGCGCGGCGACAGGGCAGTGCGGGGCAGTACCTGGCTGGCGTCGGCACGGACAGGAGCGCACGGCCGACGGGCGAGGCGAGGGCGTCTCTGCACGAGTCGAGACCGGCCGGCCGGCGGGCGGAGCGGAGCGGGACGAGCCACCGGGTCGGCAGTCGAGGCGCGCGCCCGCCCGCGAGACGCCGAGCCGCCGCGCGCGCCGCGCCAGGGGCCGCGAGCGAGCCGCCACCGCGCGCCGCCAACATGTCGCAGTTCGCGCTCAGCACCGCCTCTCCCGGACCGGTGAGTACCCAGCAGGGGGTGGCGGGCGAGTGTGGACCCGGGGGCGGGGTTCGCGCCTCGATCTGGGCTAGCTGTGATCTTGCCCAAACTCGCTGAGAGCTGAGGAAGGCGTGCTGAGAATCTGGTGCCAGATTTGAGTGTGGTGTGACCGGTGGGAGTCCATGTCGCCTGGCTGAGATCTTAAGGGGACCCGACGAATAAGATCAACACCTGATTAGGATTTGATGACGATCAATCATCAATTAATTCAGGTACCAAGATAAACCTACCAAGATAAACGCACACAGATCAGTGAGGGGATTCCTTTGAGGTGTTGGTGAGGGACGCATTGACTGCGATCCTGACCGTTCATTTGTATGCAACGCTATGTCGTTATTATTACATTTTCCTAAGAGCAGTCGCCACCACCACCCCCTCCCCTCCCCCTCCCGTCTGCACTACCGTTGTCCGTGTTACAAGCCGATCGTACCGAGCTACCAGAGGAAAGCTTGACTGACGTTTCACGGCTGGGATCCGGTTTTCGACAACAAAAATCGCGTACAGCGCACAACATCACGGATTTGTCCATCGCCCCTCCCCTTCCACCGCACCATCCGTCGGGTCCGAGCATTCCGCTGTCCATGTACTGTCACAGCCCCCTCCCCCCCGCCTCACGTGCACTGTTCGTGCAGTGTCTGTGCACAGTAACATCTGCGCCGGCCGCGATGCAGCCAGGGCCGCGATCCTTAATTTGTCGTGATATCCCAGCCATCTTTACGAGGTCGGGTGGGGTGTGGTGGTCACGTCTCTTGTGTCGAGGCGGCGGCGGCGGCGGCGGCGGAACCTCTCCGCCAGCCGGGTCCAGGATGGTGGTCTCGCGGACCGCCTGACTCGCGGGGTGCCGCAGTCCCGGGTGCGGTCGTGGTCTGGGGTGCAGTCGTGATCCGGGGTGCAGTTGTGGTGCGGTGTGCAATCGTGGTCCGGTGTGCAGTCGTGGTCCGAGGTGCAGTCGTAGCGCAGGTGCAGTCGTGGTCCGAGATGCAGTTGTGGTCCGGTGTGCAATCGTGGTCCGGTGTGCGTCATGGTCCGAGGTGCAGTCGTGGTGCAGGTGCAGTCGTGGTCCGGGGTGCGGTCGTGGTGCGGGTGCAGTCGGGGCGCGGGGTGCGGCAGGCTGCACGCCGGGGCTCTCGGGTCGGCGTTGGCGGATGTAGGTTTCGGAGCCGGCTGTAATGCATTCGTTGATGTTATCGGTGTAGATTGTTCAGACGGGGAACTGGTATTCGGAGTTTTGAAATGTGCTGCTTCTGTGTAATCCAGCTCGGCTATGTTAAGCAAGCATTGTTCGCTACCAGGTGAGACATGCGGCGAACGTGCGGTGAGGAGGCAGAGCTTGTTAGAAAGACTGCCTGAATAATGCATGGAGAGTTGTATGCTCCAGCCGATAAATCCGAGGCGTTAACTATAACAAATTTGACATTACTTTTGGAAAACATGTGTTGGTCGGTGGACTTAGAAACAACAGGTGTATTACAAAAGCATGTAATACTTGATTCGCTCCCTTTGACGGACCTTGTGAAAATGCTAAGGAGTCAACTAATGCAACGAGTGCAAAGATCCACCGCCAGTTTTATTTGCTGGATATAAATCTAAGTAAGCCAACGGGTTAAAATGCCTCGAAGACAACCTTCATTGCGCATGCATGCTTTGCCGTTTTCTTAATCAATCGGGTCAACTGTAGCAATGGTCCGTTTTAAATCCTTCACACAGCCTGCGTTGAGGCAGGGGTCTCCTTTCCCTTGTGTTCTTGCTCTCACAGCGTACTCTGAGCGCCACCCACATCGCTAATCGTAGTCAACCCCCGACTCCGCCTTTAAACAGCTGCACTCGGAGCTGATCCCGGGCCTGACGGAGCCCTGAGCGCCCTGCCCGGTGCCAGCCAACCACCCCTGTCACTGGTGTCAACACGGCCGGAAAACAAACAGCCTATCTGCATACGACGCCTCAGCCTGGGGGCCTGCCCGACCCGACCCAACCCGGCCCGACCCAAACCGACCCGTCTCGGCCCGAGCCGACCCGACCCGGCCCGACCCGGCCCGATCCGACCCGACCCGACCCGACCTGACCCGACCCGACCCGGCTCAACCCAACCCGACCCAGCTCGGCCCGACCCGGCCCGGCTCGGCCCGACCCGACCCGACCCGGCCTGATCCGATCCGACCTGACCCGACCCGGTTCAGCCCGGTCCGGTCCCGACTGGACCGGCCCGCGCAACACCCGTTCCGGTGCGAGTCGGCCCGGCGGTCCGGAACGGCCGGTCCGGTAGGCCGGAACGATCTGCGCGCCGTCAGGTCCGTGACGGCGCTACCATTCAGGAACTCCTTCGCCACCTCACCCCCAGCAGCGCAGCTGCGTACTCCTGGGCTCCAGCTGGCACTTTTCTGCGGCTTCATTCCGCGTTAGCAATGACGTGAATGTACAGGAATAGTCCGAAAGTAGCTGAGTATTCCCTGAGTCAACCGGCTGACGGACTCAGCCGCGCGGGCGGCCGGTGGCGGGCCGGCCGCGCGCCGTCTCCCCGGCGTACGCGGGCCGCCGGCGCGCCCGGCAGGCCCGTGTACCCGCCGCGCGCCAACCGGCCGCGACGTGTTCAGCCGGGTCATCCATCAGTCGAGGCCGGGGCCCGCGGCGCGCGCCGGCGCCCCCGCCGCGGTTTCCCAGGCCGGCCGCGCCGTCGCATATTCATGTCCTGGCCGGGCGTCATCGGGCTGCACGTGTCGGCGGTGCGGACCGCGCCGCGTCATGAATGAGAGGAGGCGGCGGCGAGGCCGGGATTTCCGACCGTCCGGCTGGGGTGGGGACGGGCGGCTGGACAGCCGCGGAGGGTCTCGGGGAGGCGGCGCCGGCCCACCTGCTGAGGCTCGTGCTGTCCTGGCTCGGTGCGCTGGCTGATCTGTGTGATATGGTCTTGACCTTGTCGTTTTGGGTGACTGGTATCCCGTTTCACAGGTGTCCGGGTGGGTTTTTGGCCCTGATCTGTATCAGAGAATAATAGGCGGGCCTGCGCTGAGGCAGACTGGGCTGTCAGTCCCGCCGGGTGCAGCCTTGGATTGCGATGAACACGGGGTTATGTCACTGGGCCTGCCGGTGGCGCTGCTGGCCGCGTTCGCAGCGCTACCATCATCCGCCGTCCACGTTTTCACGGCCATGAAGCACGAGGTTCTGTATTTTTACTGACGAAACTAAGCGGTGAAATGAACTGAACATCGGACCAAACCGATCACAGCAGCAAAGAACAACCGTTCAAGTCTCGGCTGTCGTCGCAAATACAGCCGGGACAAGGACTTTCGTGTTCTTTTGATGCAATGTTGCTGCCCTGAAGCTTGCTTGGTATGTAATATTCGGCGCTTCACGAAAAAAAATCCTTTGTGAACACCGGGCGGAGGCAGTATTGTTTGATAATCTCCCTAAAAGCATGAGGGTGCTGCATGTTTCCAAGCAGTAAAAGCCTGTGAGCTGTCATGTGTTAACATCCCAAATTTTACGATGCTGATATGTGGCCGGCCCTTTCAGCAAGCCCCGCGACGGCGGTGCGGTCCCGCTTAAGGATGTCGCCATGCCGTAATCCGCTACGTTCTTGATTTATGACTGAGCATGCGAATGGCCTAGCACTTTGCAGGGGTCGCATTCTTATCAATTCCACGGAGCTGACATTATGGCATTCCATGTCTTATAAATCCGGCGGTGTGACGGTGGGCGCTGACTGCATGTCCTGCTCGTCGGCTTTGGTGTGTACTCGGAGGCCTGCATTCGTGACTCACGCGTCCTCCCTCACGGCGACCGGTCGTGAGTCACGGTTGGCGGCGTGACCGGCTGAGCACGACGGATGTAGTCGCGACCGTCGCCATCGGCTGCGGCTGCGGCGGATGGTCGAAGTAGTAGCTTCTGGTCTGCCCTTCGACGGTTCTCTGCTTGTCGTTAATATCGGCCAGCTGTGGTTGCCTTTCGCTCCGGCCTCCACAGCCTGGGTGGGCCCTCGCCAGTGTGGTGTATGCCGATCATGGAATTCATATGGATCAGAATTCAACCCAAGTGTTCACTGCAGCTCAGCGTATAGCAGTAATGTCTGTCCGTCGCCTGACGACTGGTGTTCCCTTTCCCACCAGCTGGCTCTGCCGCTGCCCAGCTCGCCACACGTCTAACGCCCCCCCCCCCCTTCGGCAGCACCTGGCGGCGCCACTGGCCACGTCCTCGCCGTTGACGGCCGCGTCGCCGGGCCAGAAGTGCTGCGACACGGGCCGCGTGCTGTACACGGACCCGGTGTCGGGGCACGCCGTCTGCTCGTGCCAGTACGGCGCGCCCAGCCACCTGCTGGCGTACCAGCGGCTGGCGTCTGGCCTGCCGCTCATGTACGGCTGCGATTCGGCCTACCTGCAGGCGCTCCAGGGCCAGGCGGCCGCAGCACCGGTCAGTGGAGCGGGGGCCACGGGAGACTGGGGCGGTATGGACGCTGCGGCGCTGTGCACCGCGTTTGGTGCTGCTGCCGCCGGTGACGCCATAGGCGATGTTGAAACTGGGAATGCCGGAGACATTGCGGCAGATGTTGGTACGCTAGACGCAACGCACGCTGGGGACATCATTGACACTGCAGGTTTACAAACACCATCAGTTCCGGATGGAACTAATACTGCAGATGCCACAGGCGGTGAGAACGTCATGAATGCACAGGACATATCATATATATATATATATATATATATATATATATATATATATATATATATATATATCCCTATCCACGTAAATTGTTGAGTGCGTTTGCGAGGAGCAGTATGTATATAGATAAGACAGTGCTGTCAAATAACCAGGAGATTGGGGAAACAGATGCTTTAAAATTTCGACTATTTGCCGTTGTCAAAACAATCAAAGCGATTAGGAGCGGTAATTTCAAAATTCCCCGCCGATCCAGAGGCAGGCAGTCTTGTGCTTATGTTTTGTGCTCATATTGGCCCAAAAGTCACCAAAGCCGTGGGAGCCACCACCTCAGGCACAGTCCGAACGCTGCCAATGCAGATGGGCACCAAACACCGGCCCACATCTGCCAACCGAGGCAGCATGTGACAGGTGGTCCCACGCCTTCAGCGACGGGCCGAGTGAACCTCTGGTTCCACGTGCGCTACTTCATCACGATAACCGCGGCGCATGCAGTGTGCGTCAGACACGCGGCGCAGCCTGGTGAGATTAACGGCGCCACGGGAGCCGGCATTAAGTGGCTGAGAAACACGGAGCCTCTCGACACAGGGGTGGACAGACGGCGACACACGGGCGCCCACGCGGCGACACAGGGCGAGACAAACGGCGACACAGTGGCGACAGTGGGAAGACGGAGGGGCAGGCGTACGGCCGACCTGGGTCAAACGATTTGGCAGCTGATGGGGACGCTTGTGTTTTGAAACGCCTGGTTGTCTTCGGCGGTATTGGTATCAGTCAGGTAGCCTTCAATTTGTTTGCGATCGTGAATGGAGCTTTGTACATCTTTGGGGGCCTTGTCTCTATCTTTTGCCTGGCTCCATTTGTTTTGTGCTCATATTAGCCCAAAAGGCACCAAAGCAATTAAACACGGTTTTCAGAAGACAAGTCATGCTTGCCGAATACATTTTCGAAGCTCCGCCCTTGTGTGTCATTGAACCCCATCATTAGGCAGAGCTGCATCCAACATTGGGCTTGAGAAACATCCCAAGCATGAATAAAGCTGCTATAAAATGCCGGGAAAACCTTTTTTGAACCACAGTGCAGGTCATGTAAGAGTGGGGAGGGCTAACATATATGACACTACCTAGTTAAGACAAAATGCCACCATGTCAATAAGAACGTAGAAAGTGTGTAAGAGCTGTATATGGTCCTAAGTCACTGACACAACGGAAGTCTACAAATGCTCAACAGATCGCACGAGAAAGTAAGGGCATCACCTTTCCGTCTTCGTGTCCATCTGTCGGCGCGCTCGCCGCTGTCCAGCGGCCAGCTCGCCTGCACGTCCTGACGCCGTGCTTGCCCTCCCTCAGGGCAAGGAGGGCGCCGTGCCGCTGGCGCCTCCGCTCGGCACGCCAGCCTGGCCTTACGGCCTCTACTACCCGTACGGCGAGTCGGGCCTCTCGCCCTACGGGCTGCCCGCAGGGTGAGTACACGGAGGACGGCCGCCTCGGAGTGGCCGCTGGCCCGCTGGCCTGCGAGGCTCCGGCTGTGCTGGTTTGCGGTGGGCGGTGTTGCGATCTTACGAGGGAGGGGGCCGCCTCGGAGTGGGCGCTTGCCCGCTGGTCCGCGGGGCTCCGGCTGTGCTGGTTTGTGCTGGACCGTGTTGTGATCTTACGAGGGAGGGGGGCCGCCTCGGAGTGGCCGCTTGTCCGCTGGTCTGCGAGGCTCCGGCCGTGCTGGTTTGCGGTGGGCGGTGTTGCGATCTTACGCGGGAGGGGGCCGCCTCGGAGTGGCCGCTGGGCCGCTGGTCTGCGGGGCTCCGGCTGTGCCGGTTTGTGGTGGACTGTGTTGCGATCTTACGCGGGAGGGAGACCCATAGCTTTACGTGTAGGAAAAAACCAAGTGGTGAGCGACCGTTAGCAGAAGCCTGTGACTCAGATGGGTTTAGTGGCGTGTACCGGGCGTAGAATGAGGTTGACCTGTGCCACGGATCCAATGTTGGGGCGAATTTACGACGCACTCACCTGTTGAGGCCATATGGCGCTCGCCTAACTCTCACTCCGGCAACAAGGGCGAGAACCGCGGGGAATCGAACCCCGCACTTCTGGCTTACCAGTCGCGCAACTAGTCTCTACACCATCGGTACCCTTCGGCGCAGATTTCAATAGATATTCTTCTATTCTGTATCACACTGTGACGTCACTGTCGGGTTCTGTATCACAATTGTGACGTCACTTCGGGCTCCACTAACGTCCCAGCTGGCTCGCCCCTGATTCGAGTCCTAAACTCTCGGTGTGCCGGATCGGCCTCGGTTTGGTGAAAGCATCGTGCAGGCCTGTCTTTGATGGAGTGTCACGTCGTATAGCCACATTCCTATCACACACACAGGCCGGAGACATGTCACTTGGGACGAAGCAGTGTTTTGCGTCCATATCGCCCGCCATCCATCCTTCCATCCATATTTGCACGTTAGCAATCACTGCAAGCGCTCACCTGAAGCTCAAAACGTCTCCGTTTATGCAGTCCGACAAATGGCAGCCGTTTTTCACTGCCGTCTCAGCGGGCTTTTATGCATCGCACTGACGAAGACGTCATCGCAACGGCATCGAGATGACTCTGAGATTGGGTGGGCTCGGCAAGGTGACGCAGTTTCACGCACCACTTACTCCTCGGTCACGACACCTCCCAACTGCAAAACAGCGATTTCCTTCCTCATCCGCTACAGCAATAGAACCGTTGAGGCCGTGTCGGCAGCCGCCTAAATGCCAGCGTTCGGGAGCGGGTGGCTCCCGCACGACCCGCGCGCTCGGCACGGTCCTGACGCGTCCGGCCTGCTCGTGGCGCAAAATCGCGTGTATGACACCGGCCCGGGGACATATCGCGGTGTCATCGCAGGGCGGCGCGAGCAGGCCTGCCGTGGTGCACAGCGCTGGTGCCGATACGATCGCGGGCCAGGAGCGGCCGGCACCCGGCCATTGGCGAGGCCGAGCGGCCGGCGCCCGGCCATCGGCGACGCCGAGCGGCAGGCGCCCGGCCATCGGCGACGCCGAGCGGCCGGCGCCGGCCATCGGTGACGCCGAGCGGCCGGCGCCGGCCATTGGCGAGGCCGAGCGGCCGGCGCCTGGCCATCGGCGACGGCCGAGCGGCCGGCGCCTGGCCATCGGCGACGTCAAGCGGCCGGCGCCCGGCCATCGGCGACGCCCAAGTGCCCGGTGCTCGGCCATCGGCGATGCCAAGCAGCCGGGTCCGGCCATCGGCGACGCTGAGCGGCCGGCGCCCGGCCATCGGCGATGCCGAGCGCACCAAAGGAAATAGAGCGCGGCAGCCCCTGGGGATTGGTGGGCGAATGGGCATGGAGCTGCGTTGTGCTGGTTGTGTCTGTTTATAGGGGCAGACGTAAATATAGGAATGCCGCGTTAGTAGCCCGAATGAGCGACACATATAAAGACGGTTTCGAACAACTTTGCAACCAAACTGGCGACTAATCTTAGACGTTTCTCTCGCCATAAAGCCCATAATTTTAACTGTGCGAACACAAGCGACCCTTTTTTACTATATAATTGTGTGGTAGCGCGGGCAGGTGAGAAATTCTATTAAGCTCTACCCGCTATTTATAACTTCCACGAAAATAGTCCGCCCGTCCCCAACGCCTCGCAATCACTGTCCACTTAGCCCGTCCCGTTTGCGTATCGCCTCCGGCTTCCAGAACCGCAGAAGCGCCCCCTCCGCCCCCCCCCCCCTACCCCCTCAGTGTGTCGGCGGGCGCGGCTTACGCGGCGCACGGCCGAGTGCGCGGCATTCGCGGCGGCGGCGTAATGGCGTCCGCTCTCAGAGCGCCACCCAGTCGGCCTTGTTGATTGTTATTTATACCGTCACACACAAGCAGCACCAGCCTTGCATGATGCACGCCCGCATTGACGCTAATTGGGGGGGGGGGGGACGTCGGGCGCCGCAACCCACGCGGCCATAGCTGGCGCGGTGTGCGCCAGTTGGTGTCAACCGGTGCGTCACAAGCGTCCCCGCGCGCGGGGTGCGTTGAGGGGGTCCCGCGCCCCACGAGAGGCTGCGAGCAGAGCCCCACATCTGAGCAATGAAGCGTCAGTGTAGCCCGAACCAGTACATTGGAGGAGGGAATGATATCAGCTATACAGATCATTAATTAGGCACGTGAAGTCGTAATTAAGCATGTAGGATGTACTCTCAACAACGATCTGTGGTATATCAAGCTAGTGCCTCAACAGGATCAAAACATATGCAAATTTGTTCAAGCCAAGAACCAGTTTGGTGATCTAATGGCATGCCAGCGCTGCTGCCGCACACGGAGGGGCCCGATGCTAAGCCCAAGAATGTCGGCGATGCCCATGCGGATACCAGCGGGCCAGGCGGGCGTAATAGTGGGCTACGGGAGCTCGCCAGTCTGGTGTATTACCATCTCCAACAGTGGCGAGATGTTGGGGCATGCAGTGATGTGTCTCGAGAACAAGGTGCGGCGTGGTGACTCACTCTTCCGAGGGACGCGTCTGAGTCACCAGTGATGCGACCAGAGACGCGTCACACGCTGAACGGAGGGGGAGGGGGGCTGCTCAAACGGGTGGTCGAACGTGGCGATCACTGGTGGGGACAAGGACAAGACGCGTGTAGGGTCGGACTGCATCGTATGGGCTCCGTCTGGGGAAAGACGTCTGCCACTGAACACACAGACACACACACAGACACACACACACACACACACACACACACACACACACAACACACACACACACACACACACACACACCACACACACACACACACACACACACACACACACACACACACACACACAACACACACACACACACACACACACACACACACATGATTAAATAAATCGTTTCGCTGGCGCCCGGCACATTTCCGCAACGCATCGAAAATGACATGGACGTAAACAGAAACTAGATCATTTCATAGCCAACTACCCCATGACCTGTTATGTCAAAGCGTAGTCTTTTGACTGTGGAACCAGCGCATAACTCCTGTCACGTGTCGGTATCGGTCTGGAATGTTTCCGACGATCCGAGTTTGAGAGTTCCCTTTTGCCGCTCCGCCAGCTGCGTTCAAATGCGTTTAAAAGACATTGCCAATCTACAGCTAATGCTACTGCAGAAATGCTAGTCATTTCACTCTTTCATTAAGTTGACGCGACCCCAAGACTTTTCGTTCTAAGAGTGCTCAAAACACTTCACTTGGGCCGCAAAGTTTGAATTGGCCCCGAACTACAGTTAAAGCCATTCCGTTGTCTTTCATCTGCCAAGCCTTTGATACAACTTTACTTGGCAGTGCTTTCATGGCTTCTGAACAGGTTTTTAATTTCAACGCCCTTTCCTGCCATCACAAGCGGTAATATCCCACAAAGAACTTTCCATTTCCCCTGGCTTGGAAATACAGACGAGCAGACAATTTATGCAGCACGCGTGAAAAATTTGTATGAGAAAAATGAATTCGCGCCTTCAAGGAGTGAGCTAAGATGATTATACCGGAATCAAAATAAGATTATGGCCGACTGGCATTATTAAAA